TTCGAAGGCAGCAGACATTTATGCATTTGGTATTATTATGTCTGAAATATTATCTGGTACTCCTTCTTTCAACGAAGTGTCGCATGATAAAGATTTGGCAATTAGAATTTGTAATGGGCTCCGACCTAAAATTCAAAACAACCTGCCTGAATCAGTAATTAATCTAATGCAAAAATGTTGGGATGCTGAACCACAGAATCGATTACAAGCAAATGAATTGTTCATGATTTTAAATACATGGCAACAATATAATAGATATCCGAACTCAACGTTTGCTCAGCAAATTAAACAAAGTGAGAATATGGCATTAAGTTCTGTTTACAATGTGACACAAACGCATTCATCCGCTATATATACTAGTCGACTTCTCAACTTTAAGGCCCTTCCAGTTCCAAAAAATTCAACGGAATTTATTCAATGTAAGCAACAAAACAATAAATTCATGATTACTTAATTGCAGAAAAAATATTACTGAATATACTTATTTTTTGTTACTAGGTTCCCAAAATATGGATTTAAAAATTCCTTAGATAAATATGATCCGATAGATTTTCTATTTTACGTAGTTAAAATATTTGAGATAAGTGAAAAAATTTATGGATCTTTATTATTCTTACTCGGATCTTTATTCAATTAATGCAAACTAAGATACAACATGCGGATTAGTGTGGAGTCCCTCTTTCTCCTTTGCTACCCTTACTTCATTATGTCCTGATCTACTGTTAATTTGTCTTCAGCTCATGTTATTATATTCATACTAGTCTCTTTAAATATAAATTCCTTTCTTATTTCGTTCTACTTTTACTTTAACGAAGAACTTAAAGAACCATTAATTGTGTTCGTTAGCAATGGTATTTATTTGATTAATTCTAAGTGTTTTACCCTGACAATAAATAACAGTATTTTTAATTGGTATTATGTCTACATCGCATTATCGATATCACTAATGACTCCTTTTTTTTTTTAATCATACGGTGCCTGGCCATAAGTTAAGATTATTTTCAACTTATTTATTTCTAATAATATATATTTTAAAACTATGATTTTGTTATAATTCAAAATCACTAAGTTTAATAAAAACATACAAAAAATATCTAAAAAACATTATTTAAATCTAAAATTAATATTTTGCATAAAAGCCTTATGCGTTAATAACAATAAGATTTTGATATGTTTTTTGTGAAATATTTCTCATTTCTCCTTAAGAACCTGTTTTAAATATTTTAAAGTTTTAGGCAGACATTTTCTTTTGCATATCTAAAGATTCTCAATGGGATTACAATCTGGATTTTTTGCAGGTCAGAATGTAAGATCAATACCTATTTGCTTTTCCTATCATTTCACATAAATTCTGTAATGTATAGATACAGTATGTTCTTATAAAGTTGAACATTATATGTTTCTTGAATTTGTTGATATCAATTATAAAAGTGCTTTGCAAGAATATTAACATATACAATATATTTTGTGTAATATTTTCATTAATAATTAATCGTGGCTTAAGTTTGCCATACTAGAAGCAATCAAAACTATAACAAAACTGCCATAATCTTGTTCTTTAGTTTATATGCAATCAATAAAATATTTTTTCATTTGATTGATATTAGAAAGTATATGTTAATCACTATAATTATTAAATTTAGATTATTGCTTCAAATAATGTATTTCTAACTCATATCATTTTTTTATCTCTTATTCAAATTAGTTGAGATTTTGCATGTTTTTTAAATTATAATGGTTTTAATATTATAATACAGGCCTTTAATTCCAAATTATGTAAGAAGCATTAAATAACAATGCCAATTGTTTGCATATAATAATAATCTGACAATTATTTATATATTTTATTATTATTTATATTATAAATACAATTTTTTTGAAAAAATCTTTTCTGATTGTATTCATTTTGTTAAAAAAATTTTTATAGTAATTTTAAATAAGAAAAAGTAATTTATACTCTTTATTTTAAGAGAACTCAGTTCAAAAACCCAAGAACCTTCAAGACAACTGATGCAGTAATATGAGATCTTTGATTAAAGTTTATTAAAGTTTGAGAGTCTTGCTTGTTCCTTGGTTGCATGAGAAAAGGCCTGTGGAAGTTATTTTTTCTTTTGTTTTTTTGCACTTCTTACTTTTATTACATTATAAAAATTATTCATATTATATTTCCTAAATCAAACACTTTTCAAAAAATATATTTAAGCAAAGTTGTAGGGTTTAATATTGTTTTAGTGCAGTCTTCACTCAAAATTTTATCTTGATAACACTTACTATACTATTAAAAAAATTGAAATTAGTTTATCTCCTCCAATTGCTTAATGCCCAGCAACTGTCTAATCAAAATTTTTTACACTATTCTAACAAATAGTTTAAACTGGATTATCAATTAATCAATAATAACAAAAGCAACAACAATAATAATACTAACAATATTAATCATTAAATCTATAATAACTATAATAACAAGCAATATTACATATACTCTACTATCTATAGTAACCAAAGAGTCAAAAAGATGAGATTATGAGTCTGTTTAAAGATTTTTTTGAGAAAATAATCAGTTTTTTACTTATAGATTCTTTAGTTTATTTGATTTAATTTTAGTTTTAGTTATATTTATTTTTTTCAATTATTTTATATTCAAAAATAAAAAGATTTTATGAAATTTTCTGAGTTGTAGTCATAATCACTACTCCTTTATTTAACACATTATTATTGTTTTTGAAAATTTTTTAAATATTAGTTAGATGTTTTTAAAGTAGACAAGCTAGCATTTAACTTGTTGTATGCAATAAATCCAAGAGATGTTATTTCTTTTACAATATATACCTTGTTATATATAATTCAAATAAAGAAATAGTGTTTACCTACTGGAAAAAACCTTGAAATGCAATTTTTTATAATAGCATAAAGTAAAGTACATAATTAAATTTATAAAAAAATATATTTATAAAAAATGATTAAAAATGATATTCAAAACTATGAAAATTAATATATCTATACTAATATTATATATCTTGTGAGCATCAATAAATGTTTATCAAGAAAGTCAGTAAGCAGACTCAAACAAACAATTTAAAATAATGCAGATCATTTCTTCTCTATTTTTTAAGAAGCAAGTATTGTAATGCTTTTACATTATTTGCAAATATCTTGTCTAGATCAAAAAATTCATCACAGTTTCTTCAAAGTACTTTATTTGTAAAACATTATAATTAAAAACGTCTATAGCCCCTAAATATCAATGCCACTTGCAACAATTTTTGTTATTTTTTCAGCAAGCTAAAGTTTATCATTCAGGTTGCACAGAAATTTTTTGTAAATATTCCTTCTTATATCCCCACATGGCAGTAAATACTTTATACTTGAGATCAGAAATAATGACAATGATAACAAAATATGAATTTAAATTAGGTCCAATGAAAATACATAGATATCAGGAAAATTATATTCACAGCTATTCTTTTGAAGAGTCAAAGCATATTTAAGCTTAAACTTGGTAATATCTTTAGTATAGACAGGCTTCACTTGATCTGCTAGTATATTTAGAATAAAAAAGTGTGATTTAAGCAACAGATAAACTCTTGAGAATCTCCGAAAAAGTTGAAATTGTTTGAATGCTTTGGGCAGTAAAGACTTTTTTCTAGCATCATTTCATAGAAATTCTCCCGTATTATGTTTGAAAGTATTTTGAAATGGTGATCAGATTGTACAGCAAAATCAATATATAAGTACTGGTATTTATAGCATTATATGGAAGTAAGTCCTGGTTAAGGAACCGTCAAACAACTTATCTCACCATATATTCTCCGGAGACTTTTCAAGAAAGGTATATTGGAGATTCAAAAAGGCAAATCTTTGGAAATTCATTGGGATACAATATATTGACGAGTTTTATTCCGTTAACTAATTAATAAACATATAAACTATTGCTCAGTGGCCTAAATCGTGGGAAGCCTGTGTGATCTTTCTCTCCTCACTAGTGTCGACATGAATAATTTGATTGAATTAGAGAAAATAACAAAAAACAAATAAAACAAAAATTGGAGCGGGTAGTAATATTGATAATCAGTTGAGAATACAGTATATACGACGATCGTGAAATACATACACCAATAACGATTTATTACATGATCGATATCTTTTAGGGTTAAATTTAAGATAGATCAAATTTGTGCTATTTTCAATTACCAATACTATCAAAAAGCTTCAGAAAAACAAGACATTGTCCAACTGAATCTCTACCATACCATACTGCGCGAAAAAAGCAAAAATCGACACTTTGATCTGACTTATTTATTAAATAATTGATGATGAATTTGCATTAGCTCTCGATCACAAACTTGACAAAATATTGATAATTTTGTTATTTACAGCAACGCCTTTCTAGGTAGGTGATGATCCCTCATGAAGTTGTTTAACTTCAGCACTAAACTTTTCTAACCACTTCTCTTCATTAAATATTTTCCACTTACTTGCATTATCGATAGCTGTAACAAATAGTTTCAACTCTCCGTCCAATTTGTCTATCAATTCTAGCAACGAAATTTTCTTTCCAAACTTGATAACTCCAATTATTTGACACAAATTGATGTAATCCTGAATAATTGCTTGACATTGATCAGGGTGAAGTTGTAGCATAGTTGCAAGGCCAAAATCTATAAGATAGAAATGACCATTTCTGTATATGACGTTTCGCATGGCCACATCTCCGTGCGTGTAATAATCGGCATGTATCTTCTCCAAACACGATAATAGATTCAGAATTATTTGAAAAAGTGTGTGATCATCTATATTACCATTATCAGAAACCCATGATTCCAGGGGTTGCCCCGCAAAACCGGTTAGTAAAGCCAGTGATCCTCCCTCTGTATGACCTTCAAAGAGAATTTTTGGAACACAAGAAAGATTACTTAATGCACGCAACGCTGATATTTCACGGTAAACTTGTGATATTTCGGAGTTTTTGCAAACTTCAATCTTTAGATAGAATAAATGGTCGATATGGTAAGTTTTATTATACACAGTATGAGACATTCACATGATCAATTCACCTTCAAAACGGCATCCTTTATTCCATAATCATGTACTTGTGCCAAAAAAACTATACACTCTTCCGGTTCCAAGGTGTGATGTAATCTGCAAGTGGATATAATTTCCAGAATTTAATCTGATATGAATGCCCTCTTCGATGAAGGAAGCCAAGAGACTTTCAGAAGTAATTGATGGCTTTTTACTATACATATATGTATAATCGTTATTTTGAGATTTGTTTTTTTCACCAGAAGCTCTCGTCTTACTCTTTATCAGATCATCATAATAGCAACAAATTAGGCCAGTAATAAGTGAGGCCGTATGTTCACTCCATTCGTAATTGGGACTTTCCTCAAACTTCACTTTTGGGGCACCATCATCATCTATTAATTGAATTTTCGTAAATTGCCAAAGCCCCCCATCGGTTAAACATCCATAAAAAACGTTTTATAGAGGTCTATTCGCTGTAAGGTATATCCTGGCTTATTTTATTAGTTGACCCTTCCCTTCCTTTACTTTTGTACTATTATTTAAATCATTCTCGACTTTCCAACCCAAGCCTTTTGATAAATCAGGTGGGCTATTTGTCAATTCTTGATGATAATTAGCATGGCCAATTATGATATCAGCGTAAACTTGACCTTTTCGGCTACCATAATCTCCAAGTACAAGTAACTGACTTTCTAAGTACAACTTTTTTACGATTTCATTCACGACATTTTTGCAAAATAGTTGATTTATCGTGATTTCACTTGATCCTTGTATAGGAGCATTAGGGTATTGAATGAATACTCGGTGACCAAACAATGGCTCTGTACCAATATCCTCCTCGATTTTCCAAGTTTGTACGTCTCCATGTTCTTTCACATATTTGTACACAGAGGAAGGCTTTCTTGTATTGCCCGTTCTAGCAAGGAATAAATCATTTCTTAAATCTTTAATTGTCTCTAATAAAATGAAAATAGTAAAACACATGTTATAAAGTAACGGCGAAAAAGCAGTACGTTCACTCGCGTTGACCAAATTTATTACGACTTACCAAAGGCAACAAGTTGCTCTACAATAACGCGAATGTATTTTTTTGGCAGGTTTGATTATAGTAAGCAAGAAAGAAAGGCACAATATATGTAAGTATTCAGTCGAGCAAGTATACAAGCTTAGCGTTATTTGTCTTGCAGAGATAAAGTAATTTTTCCACATCAGCTAACTTAGTATCTATATTAGTATGTATTCGATTTTCTAATTACCCCGAAATTTGGATTGAGTGAATACGTATGATATTTCTTATCGATATGCGCGATGCTAAAGTTACATATGTTAAAATTAAAGCCCAATATGGGCAGGAACCTTGTTATTTCATTCACAAAGTGACCATACCTTACAATAAAAATACATTAAAATTTGGAGCATAATCAGAATATCATATATATAGCACTCTTATTTTGTGAAATTATTGGTTTGGCTGTATCATCAGAATTCGTTTTACAAGAAGCATTATATTAGACGAATATTGTTCTTATGGAACGAGTGCACTTATCTGTTTGATTTCCTCTGCGACTGTTTTGTTTCGATTTTATAACTCTGACTCTAAGCTCATCATTTTTGACATGTGGTTAGTAGTATCTGTTATATAACGTTTATCTAACCTGATCTTTTATTAGAGATTTCATTTAATATGACCGTAGTTTTTAAAGTCATTATGTTCTTGAGCATATTATATACGTATATGAAATATAAAGGAAAGCGTAAAAAAGTTTTTTTAAAGAAAATTATGGTAAAAAAATTTTTTTTAAGAATCAATAATAAACAAGCAAGTTTTTTATTATTGATTTATTTAATGTTTATTCATTAATTTGATATACTATTTTTTTTTTTAGATTTTTATAAATGACTTGTTAAACAAATATAAAAATAAAAAAGATATTAATAAATAATTTCTTAAATAAAATGTAATTTAATTTTTAAAAAAATAATTAATAATATTTTTTTTAACTTTATACAAAATATAATTAAAAAACTATTTTAAAAAATTTTTTTAGTAATAAATAACATTTTTTTCATTTATTTATATATATCAAGGTATACATATTTGAAAAGAAACAATGTCTATTATATATAAAATGTAATTTTTTTATTATTATAAAAATTTTAAAATATTAAGTTAAATACTAGTTTATTTACAGTAATTTTCTAACATATATTAAAAAAAAATTCTAATTCAGTATGATAATTAAGTGATGTCAAGCAACTACAAATATCTACTTAAAGTTTTGTATAATAAAATTATTGTAATTAATAATATAATTAAAGAATATAAAAAAAAAGTTAATAAAGTTTCAGTAATATGAGTGAAAATTTTAATTGCTATATTATTGTAAAAAGAAATTTAATTGATATTGTTTATTTTTATATTGTTTTTTTTATAATGGAATTTCCATTTCATTTGATATCTGAAAATAGTAAAGTATTGACTATATTGTACTAGAGTTTTCAAATAAAATTGTATATATACAGTATATAGATTTGTTTAAAAGATTGATTATTTTTAAGTTAAAAATACAAATGTTTTAAGTATAAAAAATTTTTTACAAATTATATATACAGTAATCTGATAATATAAGTTTTTTGAAAAAATAAATAAATAAATTATTTTATTGTATGGTTTTGATAAATCTTAATTTGAATTTAAATTTGATAAAATTGATTATAATTGTTTTTATAATATTAAATATATTATTTTTTAAATTTGATATGTAAAGTTGATCTTGACTTATCTAGTATTTCAAAGATATTGAACTGGTATTGAAATAATATCAAAATAATAATAATCTATAATAAATTTAACATATGGATTGTAACCTACTTATAACTTAGATTATTATCTAACACTCTTACTTATCTCATGCCATATCTCCATATCTCTATTTGACATTATATAATTAGTGATTGTAATATAGTGACAGACTCACTGTTACAATCCCACAATATATATTAATTGCAAATAGATATTAAATGTAAAATTTTTATCAAATAAGAAATCTTTATTATTATATTAATGTTTTTATATAATTAAACAACACAGATTTGAAAAGTGGCTCAAGATGATTAAAAAAGTCTTTAGCATTATTACTGTATATCTTTTATAATTTGCAAAAGTTCCTTCATACTCAAAATATTTAATCAGTTATATAGTATCTTTAGTCTCAAAATAATCAATTCATTTAACAAATATAAAAAAGAATTTTATAACAATAATTATAGTAACTTGGTGATCTTTAAAATCAAAATAATTTTAGGTACACTTCTTATATAAGAATTTCTCCATAACTTATATTCTGAATATTATAAGGATCTATACTGTCCTAAATACAATTTTCATTTAAAAGACATTTTTCATATTTTTAACTGTTTTAAAGCTAAAGAAGTTAAACAAATAATAGATTCAATTAATCTTACACTTTATCTAAAAAATAGCAATCATTTAATTTTCAATACACAACAAGTAATAAAACTAGCATATGGAATCACTATTGTCATATGTCAATTCAACTCAAAGATCAATATAGAACTAAGAACTGATAGTAGGAAGACACTTTATTTAAGATATAATTCTAATGTGGTATGCTATAATTCATAAAAAAAACATACTTGAGATTTCAAAGATCATAAGGCAAAGGGTATAAAATTATAATTATATAAAGACAAATATAATTGTAGTAATTTATTAAGAACTTAAAGTACAGTATATCTTTATTATCAGTACATTATTACACTATTAATTCTACTAATTCCATATTTGATTTTTCTAAAAGTCTTTCTTTATTTCCTTTACAATTTTTTATAATTTTTTTATTATTTCTTCTTTTGTATACAAAATACATAATTATTAGATTTATAGTATATAAAAATAAATAAAGAATATAATTGATGTGTTAAATTATTAAGAGTAACAAATAATACAAATATGAAAATAGTTAATAAAAGGCTAATTTGTAACATGTTTTCAATCTTTTGTATTTATAACTTGAGAATTATTACTTGATCGTGTGATATAATAATATATTTTTGATTGAATACTATAAATATTTGATCAAAATTCTTGATTATCGCATAAGTGGTAATTAAAATTTTTTTCCAGATTCTAAGTAAAATTGTTTGGCAAATAAAAATATTATAGGTCTATTATTAGTAAATTAATATGTTGGATTATTTTGGATATAAAATTTCTTATTTCAGAAAAATTAAACTTTTAAGTTTAATACTATCAATATCCTTTTTACAGTCAATATCTATAACTGGATTAAAGCATCTATTGAAGCCTTAACATTATTTTACAATCTTATATGAAAACCTTGATGTAATACAGCAAACACTTTTTTTTCTACCAGTATAAAGTGAATTAAAACATTAAAATCAAAAAATAACAAAAAAAACAACAACAATAATAATATTAGTCATAATATCAATACATTATCAATTAATATTTCTTCTTTCTACAATATTAACTTAACTTTTTTATCAAATAATACTACAGTCAATATCTCTACAGTTGTTGCAGAAATTTTAATCTATAGTAATCTCAACTTTGCAATATATATTTTCAATTTTATTTCTAACTTCTATAATATAATTTCTTTAAACAAATTCGAGTAGATACTTATTGCTATTCAGTATCATTTAGTTTACATATTAGTTTTAAAATTTCTTTTCTAATAAAAGTTAAATAATTACCATAGGCAAGCTCGTATTTAATTTATTGAAATTTGTATATAAGAGATGTTGTTTCTTTCTAAATATATATCTTGTAATATATAAATAAATAAAGAAATAGTGTTTATCTAAAAAAAAAAATGTTTTTATGTAATTTGTAAATTAATTATAACCTATTTATTAATATTAATTAATATTAAGTCGATAAATTTTTATTAATAATACCAAATAATTAATATTTATTTAAAATGATAAAATTATTATAGAAATAAAAATATTTTTATTAAATTATTATTAATTAGAAATTTTATAAAAAATTAAGTTGTAAATATAATATATATACATTACTTGAACAAAAGTATCATATATTATTTACATAAAATTTTATATAATAATTCTATTTAAAATTTTAATATATTATATTTTATTTAATAAAATATCTATATATAAATCAATATTTTGTTAGCCATTTATTATTTCTAATAATTGCTTCTATTCTTCATGGTATACTTTTTATATAATTTATTAATTAATTTTTTGAAATTTTATTCTATTTTTCTTGTAATGCAATTTTAAGATTTTTTATATTTCCGATCTATTTCTTATTTTTTTTTCCAATTCAGATCACAAATGTTCAATTGGATTTAAATCAGGGGATTGACTTGATCAATCAGGTAAAATTCTAATTTTATTTTTTAAAATCCATTATTGAATATCTTTAGCAATATGAATTAGAGTATATTTATTTTGAAACAAACATCTCTTATAATTAAAATTATTATTAATTAAAGGTAATAAATACTTTTCAAGTATTTTAATATAATCCAATTCATTAATTTATTACTTACTTTTACTAATAGATCTAATCTTTTACTTGAAAAATATTTCCGTGCTATTATTTCTCCATCTCTAAATTTTACTGTTGGAATCATATTTTCAAATAAAGTTATTTCAGTATCTTTCGAAATCTGGAAAAAAAGATTGGGAAACCACTACACTGAAGTCAAAGTAACACTTGAGCCGTTTTGTAAGTATTTTTGTTAGTATTTTCCTGAAGGAGTCAATGAGAGCTATAGGATGGGTTTCTTGAATATTGAATTTTCATTGGAGTTTTTTGCTGATGGGATATTATATCTTGTACCAGGAGTTCTTAAAACATAATCAGGACTATCATTTTTGAATATTGTAAATTAACTTTCATCATTTCACATAATAGTCTTCCATTTTTGAACAGTCTAATCTTTTTTTTCAATACACTATTTTAA